AAAAAAATCAATACAAATCATCTTAATTCCCCACAACCAACTTTGTAGCTTACTCAACAGAATTCGTAGCAGCAAAATTAAGGAAGAACTGAACAAACTAAATTATTCCTATCAAGTTCCCATTGGACAGGAAAGGGCTATCTTTACTAGCAGAATTGAGGACATATTTAGTTAAAGAAGTAAGTTCTTGAGACTAAGGGGTACTCTCGCCATGTGGAAGAAAGCACAGTGCTCAAAGACAGGACCAGAGGACTCGTGGGCGGTAAGTGGAGCTGTATTCTCCTCTTAGCTGGGACTGCAGTGGCGTTTGGTAGGAGAACGTACCCAATGCCTCCCTCCATAATGGCCTCAAACTGGGGTCATCCAAGCTTCTTTAACTTCATTCTTCAAATGAATTCACATGCAAAAATTTTAATAAAATTTATTGAGTAGAATTGGTTTATGTATGGATACACCTGTATGACCTCCCAGATCAAAATATAAAACATTTTCATTATCCCAGAAAGTCTTCTTATACTATTTCACAATTGATGTCCCTTCCAGAGGCAATCACTGTTTTAACTTCTATCATCATAGACTAGTTTTGCTTGCTCTTGAACTTCATATAAATAGAATCATTCAGCATAAATATTCTTTTTTTGTCTGGCTTCTTTACTCGACATAATGGTTTGCTTTGCAGTTTATTCATGTTGTTGCGTGTATTTGTAGTTTGTTCTTTTTTATTGCTAACTAGTGTTCCAAAGAAGATAACAGCCAATAAGCATATGAAAAGGTACTCAATATCATTATTAGACATCAGATAATGCAAATGAAAACCACATTGTGCTGCCAGAATGAATAAAGCTTAAAAAGACTGGCAATGCCAAGTGTTGGTGAGGATGTGGAATTATTGGAACTCTCATACATTATTGGTGGAGTATACAATAGACCAACCCCTTTGGAAAACTATTTGTCAGTTTCTGAGAAAATTAAACATAGTCTACCCTATTAACCAGCAATTCCATTCCTAGATTTATACCCAGGAGAAATGAATGCACATGTACACAAAAATACTTGTAGAAAAATGTTCATAGTAGCTTCATTCACACTGATTCCAAACTGGAAACAACCCAAATATCTATCAATAGGAGAATGGATACATAAACTGTGGTATATTCAAACGAATATTTTTTGAGGTTCTACCCCATGTGAAACACATCCCTCACCCTTGTCCTTTCTTCCTTTAGTAGGCATGACACCCTCTCCTTGGGAATTCCATTCCATTCTCAGGTTCCTCTGAAAGCAGGGGCGAGCATTGAACACTATGTATCTTCCAATACCAGACGTTAGCCCAACTGCCCCAGTGGCCATCACACTCAAGATTCTGGGTCACACTGTATTCAGCAAACATCCAATTTCATAAGCATTTCCTGAGCATGATGCTAGACCTTCGGCAGATGATTCAAAGCAGATGATTTAAGACATCATCCCCAGTGAGAGACAGCAATTAAGAGATTGATTCTTGGAGTCAGAAAGACCTGGGCTTGAGTCCCAAGTCTTGTTAGCTGTGTGCTCTTGGGAAAACCCGGGTCTCCTAAACTATATGAGGCATCTGCCCAATAAAAACAACAATACTAGCGCCTACCAAAGAGCATTCTGAGAACTGAATGACAGGATGCATATAAAGTGCATAGTGCGACATCTGGCACTTAGGAGGTTTTAAGTCAATGGTATCCATTAATATTATTGTTATTATTAATGTTCTCAATCTAGTGAGAGGGCAGCTCACACCTGATTATAAAGTAGATGTTCAGAGGTGCTAAATAGGAGTAAAATATGCGTTGGTGATATTGAGAGGGAGACGACACTGATTCGGGCTAGAGAAATTCTGATCAGATTTCTTACAGGATCTACTGAGAGCTGTCACCTTAGGAAATAAGAACCACAGCTCTAATTCTAATGATCAAATAGTGCAGTAAGAGGCAAAATGATATAATATTTAAAAACATCAAATTTGAAACCCCACAGCCTTAGGTTTGAATCTAGGCTCATTCATTCATTAACCATAGGATTTTGGACAAGTAATTTAACTCCTCTAAGCTTCAATTGTATCATTTTTGAACACTGACAATTCTTATTTCTAACGGTTGTTAAGGATAAAAATAAATATTTATCAAACATCTAGCACACCACTAGTTACTCAATGCATAATTTTTAACAAGCATATTAACTGAATGAGAAACTAGGGGCCCACACTCTGTGCCTCTTGGGGTGAGTCTGGGAGGTGGGGGGGATTCTTTTCAAAAAAGCATCAGCACAACCAGTCTGGTGGCATTTGCCTCCAGTAATGACTCTTTTTTGCATTAGTTCCAGTGGTTCTAAGACTCCCAAAAACACAACTCATGAAGTTCCTGAGCTTCCAGAACCCTCAATCAAGAACTTAATGCCAGGAGGAAAAAAAAAAAAAAAGCATAAGCCAAACCATCAAAGCCAAGTCTCTTAGACTCTTACTCCTATGACTTACTTTTTAATTTTTGCTGACTAAGAAATGGGGCATGGATCCAAGTGAGAGAGAAAACCTGATAAAAAACACTTTTCTCCGTGGTGGCATTTTGGTCTCACTCCAGTAGTTTGCCAAACCTCAAGCACCATTAATACTGTGCTAGTCTTGCACTGTCTGCAGCCTCAGAGCCGACAGGCAAGAGCCCCACTGCTGCGACCTTCAGGTAGGTGGTTTTGTGTGCCTGTCAATAAGTCCACGTGGAGTCATTTGTCAAAGCCCTGGTGCCACTTTGCCTTTCCCCAAGCAGACACCTACTCACTACACTCAAGCCCTGCCCTCACATTGCCCAAGGGCCAAACTGTCTGAGGGACTTTTTTTTACAATGTTTTGCCCAAATGGTTTGATATTGTATATAAACAACCTAAATGCTCCATGAGAGTATGAGATTCTGGTGTAGCAACAACTGATGCATTATTGCCTGAGTTGTCTGTAAGAACTGTTGTATCTTTCTGAGAATGCCAGCTTTGATTAAGACCTGGTGAGAAGAAGTTAATTAACAAATCTCAGATTCCTAGTATTTTGCTTCTGTCATCATCATCATCATTATTCTCATCACGCTGTTTCTTGCTCATTTGTTCATCCCTCCCGCCCATCCCATTCTCTGCCCTTCTCCATACCCCAGGAGGCTGATTCCTGCAGA